TAAAACCCTCCCAGGGCGCTTGCTACAGGGCCCGAACCGTGTCTAGCAACCGTTGCTAGGGGGCAGTGCTGAGGAGGGAGGCGGGGGTCTGCGGGGAGGAGGTGATACGGCGCATGCGTAGCGGGCGGGGCGAGTGCGTGGTGTCACGACGCATGCGCGGGGCCGGTTATGGCGGAGGGGGGTTCTGCTGAGGGGGAGCTGGAGCCGCTGCGGTTGCGGCGGCTGCGGGGCGAGGGCTTCTTCGAGGTGCCGGCGGCCGACCGGGTGAGGGGTTGGGGCCGTGTGGGTGAGCGAGCGGAGCGGGGTCCCAGCCCTGCTGGAGGTGTCTGGGTGGAGAGGGAGGCGGAGAGGGTCCTAGAGGCCTGCAGGCCCCTGGGTTGTGGGTGGGCCTGGGGCCTGCTGGGGGGGGTGGGTGGTCGGTTGTCCTGGGCCCGTAGCCACGCAGGTTCCCCCCCCCCTTGCTGGGGTGGGCTGGGAAGGGAGCTGGACAGCCTGCAGTGCCTGCACATCTGGCTGGGAGCAGCTTGTGAGGGGGACAGGGGGGTCCTCAGTGGGGGCTTAGTGGGAGGGGGGAGGTGACAGGGAGGGCGTGCTGGCACAGGGCTGGAGGCAGGAGGGGGCAGAGAAGCCGACTCTGTCCCAGCCACTGGCTGAGCTGGTGTGCCTGCGGTGTTTCTGAAATGCTGGTTTGCTCTGTGAGCACCAGAGCAGCACCGTGGTCTGCCTGGTGAGAGGTAAGGGTGTAGCAGCTTCAGGCCTTGGGCTGTCAGTGAGGTCCTGCTTCCCTGGGAAGGTTGGTGAGCAACCTCCGAGGGCTGCCCCAGAGAGCACTCTCACCTGTGATGTGGCTCTGTTGTTCCAGCTGGGAAGATGCCGGAGTGTGAAGGAATTCGAGAAGCTGAATCGGATTGGAGAGGGCACCTATGGCATAGTGTGTAAGTGCGGTGCTGGCTGCTCTCTCCGGGCCTGGGGTAGAGCCAGTTCCTGGGTGGGCTGCAGCTATCTGCCCACATCCTGACAGTGGGAGCATATTGGGCTGGAGCTGGGGGGTGCTGTCAGGGGAACCAAGGCTGAGAGGAGGCTCATCAGTACAGGGGTCCTGCTTGCTCACGATAGAACCAGTGTTTGTCTTTTGGCGCTGAGCACGCAGCCTGTGCTGCTTTTCCAGACCGGGCCCGGGACACCCTGACGGATGAGACCGTGGCATTGAAGAAGGTGCGGATGGACAATGAGAAAGATGGTAATGGAGGAGTGGGTGAGCTGTAGTAGGGGCAGCTCCTGGGGCGGGCAGGAGCATCCCTGGCTGCTGCTCGAGGCAGTCGCGCAGCTCAGCTGTTGCTCTCTGCAGGAATGCCCATCAGCAGCCTGCGGGAGATCACGCTGCTCCTGCAGCTTCGGCACCCCAACATCGTGGAGCTGAAGGAGGTGGTTGTAGGGAACCATCTGGAGAGGTGAGGTTCCCCTCTTCATCCTGCCCTCTCTGCCTTTCAGACCCTTCTCGGTGCCCTGAGCTGCCTCTCACAGCACAGACCTGTGCTGTGAGTGCTGGGACACAGGAGAGGTGTCCCGGGGGAGGCTCCTGACTATGTCTTATCTATGACAGTATTTTCCTGGTGATGGGCTACTGTGAGCAGGACTTAGCCAGCCTTCTTGAGAACATGCAGACGCCTTTTTCAGAGGCTCAGGTAAAGGTTGGGCCTGAGAGGGTGCTGCCATTCCAGCCAAAACACAGTGGGCACTGGTGTGGACTCCCTGGACCTTGTGCTGGGCTTCAGCAGGGCTGGGGAGCACTAGGTGAGCTGGGATTCCTGGGCCATGTGGGGAGCCTGGGCTTTGCTGGCTCTCACAGAATGCTCCAGGGACTTTCTAGGCTGGGTTTTGGGCTGGAGCAAACTGGCGGTGAAACAGTGGGGAGAAAATGTACCCCTAGACAGCCTGTTAGCTGCTCTGGGAGGACGTGGGGACCAACACACTGCAGAGCAGTGACAGATGTGGCAGACCACAGGGCACCTGAGTGGGTTTAACCCCTGGGGGCTTGCCTGGCTGGAGCTGCTCTTACAGGGGGTGTTGCTCCTGTCCTCTATCTCCAGGTGAAGTGCATCATCCTGCAAGTTCTCAAGGGCCTGCAGTACCTTCATGAGAACTACATTATCCACAGGTGGGAGCAATGGGATGGACATGGGGTGGGGGGGAAAGGGGATGTGGGGAGAAGGGGCTGATGGGAGGGAGCTGGCTGATCCTTGAACTGTGGTGTGATTTTTCACCTTCCACACCTGTGTCCTGTGAGCAAGGAGCACGGTGTAGAGTAGCTGTGGGCAAATCTGTGGCTCTGTGTGGGAGTACTGGTGGGGCAAGGAGGCCACTGAATGATGAGATTCGCTTCTCCTCATGATGGCTCAGCCCTGGGGCTTTGTAGCTGCCTGTGAGCCCTGGGGAAGCGTGGGTATGGGGGAAGCTGTGCCTGAAGGACAGTGCTGACCAGCTGCTCTCTGTTTCCTGACAGGGATCTGAAGGTGTCCAACCTGCTCATGACTGACAAAGGCTGCGTGAAGATAGGTGAGCCCCTGGCAGCTGCCAGTTTGGCTTCTGCCATGGATGTGCCCACAGCTCTCCCTCCGCTCCGTGACACAGTTGGAGCGAGGAGCTTGTCTCTCTCTTGATCTCGAGTCTCTGTTGCAGCTGATTTTGGATTGGCACGCACCTATGGGATGCCGCCAAAGCCGATGACCCCCAAAGTCGTCACGCTCTGGTGAGTGGCCAGCGCCCGGGGCTGAGCTGCGCTGGCTCAGGGTGATGCGGGTGAGTCCTTGTAGTGCGGTGGGGGCTTCCTTAGCGCCGGCTCTGCCACGGTCCCCTTGAGACAGTGCTGTCCCCTGCACAGGTACCGAGCACCCGAGCTGCTGTTGGGGATGACAACCCAGACCACCAGCATCGACATGTGGTAAGGGGAGAGCAGGAGGGGGCTGAGGCTGGCCAGGCAGGGGCCTGGGAGGGGGGCTGCAAAGCCGCGGCAGGGGGGTGGTCAGTGGACGGGCTTCTTCTGCCCTGTATGTCCTTTGCTCTGCAGGGCTGTGGGCTGCATCCTTGCTGAGCTGCTGGCCCACAAGCCGCTGCTGCCGGGCACCTCTGAGATCCACCAGATCGACCTCATTGTGCAGCTCCTGGGGACGCCCAATGAAAACATATGGCCGGTGAGAGCGGTCCCCTGCTACCTGCCTGCCCTGCCTGCTCTCCCTGCCTCTGCCTCACACTCCAACCCCCTCAGGGTTTCTCCAAGCTGCCCCTGGTGAGTCAGTACACCCTGCGGAAGCAGCCCTACAACAACCTCAAGCACAAGTTCCCCTGGCTCTCGGAGGCTGGGCTGCGGCTGCTCAACTTCCTCTTCATGTACGATCCCAAGAAGCGGTAAGAGCTGTCGGCAGCTCTGCATGGGCAGAGCAGGGGAGAAAAACTGCCGGTGGATGGGGCTGCCAGTGTCATGCTGCCCCTGTGGCAGGGCTGTCCCCAGAGCTGTGGGCAGGTCAGCGCCTTTGGGGGGTGCCTGCCATGTCCCCTCATCCCCACAGGGCGACAGCGAAAGACTGCCTGGAGAGCTCCTACTTCAAGGAGAAACCCCTCCGTGAGTAAACCCCCCTCCACGGGGCAGGGCTGGGGTGCTCTGGGCCCCGCTGACCCCTGTTTTTGCCCTGCAGCCTGCGAGCCGGAGCTCATGCCCACCTTCCCCCACCACCGCAACAAGCGAGCAGCTGCTGCCAGCACAGGGACGGAGACCCAGGCGAAGCGTGGCAAGCCCTGAGCACTGGCCCGCGGTAGGAGGCATGGCGCACGCCAGCCAGGACTGTTTTCCTTGGTGGAACAGCATCGTGGTGGGCTCCATCCCTTCCCGGGATTGAATTCCCTTCCCTGCACTGGTACAGAGACAGCCTGGCTGTGGCAGGGGACCGATGTGACCCAACCTGCCCTGGGCAGGCTCCAGGCTGGGGCTGGGTGAATGCAGCACTGGGGGCAGGAGAGATGGGGCCCTGGGCCCCCCGGGGCTCAGCAGGGAGAAGCTGGGGTGCTGGTGGGGCCAGCCCTGCCCCCAGGGGGGTCCTTGGCCAGTGCTGGCTGTGTGGGGTAACCCCAACTTTGCTGTTAATAAAAGCACCTGCCAGCAGCAGTGGTGCAGAGTGAATCACTTTGTTCCTTGGTTCCAGCTGGGCTAGAAGCTGTGGCCCTGCTCTGCTTCCCCTGTGCCGCATGTCCAGCCCCAGGGTCTGAGCATGCCCCTAAGCTCTGCCTCCCTTAAACAGAGCGCGGCCCCGCTCTCCTGGGAGGCAAGAGCTACTCCCGCAGGGTGATGTAGCAGCAGGTAGCACTGCAGGCCCCGTCCCTTCCCCAGGAGCGGGCACGCTTGGGCCACTGCTCCCCCTGCATGTCCCCATTGTTGTCCCTCCCGTGACTCCGACAGGGCAGGAGGAGACCACCACAGTGCGAGGCAGCTGTGCTTTACTGAGATGCACCAAGCCATTTACAGCGGGAGCGCTGGGTTTGGAGCAGGGACCCATCCCCCTGGAGCCTTGGCAGGCTCCTACTGCTCCGGGGGCAAAGCAGAGCACGGCACAGGCACCGCTACCTCCCAGCAGGGCGAGTTCGGTGTCCCTCAGGCTGAGCGATGGCCGTCCCCATCCCCTTCCAGCCACGGCAGGGACGGGTGCAGCCAGCAGCAGAACCCCAAGGGGTGCTAGGACCAGGGAGCGGAACTGTCGGCCAGCAGCATGTCCACCTCTGTCCGTTGCAGCCAGAGCCGTTGCTGCCTCTCGCTGCGCAGCTCCTGCCCGTGGTGGTGGGTGCGGCAGGCCTGCCCGGCTGCGCAGGTGCTGGCATGGAGCTGCTGGCAGGTGGTGCAGCAGTAGGAGGGCAATGCACCCCGGCGCAAGCAGGAGTGCAGCTGGTAGCAGGGCAGCTCGGGGGCTTCCTGGCTGGGGGAGGTTGGTGAATTTTGGGGCTCCCCTGGCACTTGGGGGCTTCTGCTCCCTGCAGCCAGGGTGGAGAGTGGGCTGCCAGCCCCGCTGAGCTCCTGCTCCAGGAAGAGGAGAGAGGAGGAGGTGTCCAGGTTGGGGTTGCCCAGGGAGGGCACCGGCTCCTGCCCACACTTGCCATCTCTGCGGTGGTCCCAGCTCCTCCCAGGCACATCTTGAGCACCCCGTGGGCTGCCAGGGTCCCTCCATGGCACTGCGGGGGCTGCGTCCTCTCCCCCTGCGTCCTCGGGGCCAGCTGGTGTCTCCTGGTAGAGATCCACGCTGTCGCCACAGTTGGCAGCCGCCTCATGTTGCGTCCCCAGCTGCTGCAGCATCTCCACGCAGGCCTCCACGTCCCCGGCCAGCCGGCGTGCCTCCAGCAGATCTTCGGCGCGCAGCTGGCGCGGCCGCAGCCGCCTCACCACCTCTGCCAGGATCTCACACTCCAGCCGGCAGGCAAAGAAGCCGCAGGCGGCAGCGACCAGCTCGGGCTTGGAGAGCGGCCGGGTGACGGCCAGACAGTGCCAGCCACGCCGTTCATAGCCCAACCGGCCGAAGCTCCGCACCAAGTCGTCTTCGGGGAGCGCCGGGCGCAGCAAATGCATGTACGCACCGGAGAAGGTCTGTAAGGAGAACGGGGAGGGGGGGTACAGCTGGAGACGCCCTGCCGGCACATCCGTCATCCCCCTGCCGGTGCCGCCACTGCCCCGGTCCTCACCTGGACGGTGCCGAACTCCTTGCGCCAGGGGAAGAGGTAGAGGTTGACGGCCGCCAGCTCCAGCAGCTGGAAGGCGCCGGCCAGGCCCCGCAGCGCCGGTCCCGGGTCGGGCCGGTCCCGTAAGCCACGGGCCAGCAGGACCGGGGCGTCCTCCTGCAGGGCCCCCAGCACCGCCGGCTCCCGCCGCAGCCGCTGCCCCAGCCGCTCCCCGAAGGAGGGGTCGGAGCAGGGCCCGGCGCGGCCCTGACGGAACTCCCGCTCCAGGCAGCGCCGGTACTCCTGCCGGTACTCCTGCCGGTGGAACTCCTCCTGCCGCAGCGCCGAGCCCGCGCACATCCTGGGGGTGCAGCAGCGTGAACCTCCCCCCCTCCCCAAGCCCCG